GGCGTAATGTTTTCTAGCACTCATGGGGGCTGGATTTGGATTTGTCGTGCTAAAGCCCTGCTTAAGTTCATTACTACTTGACTTTTCAAGTATACTGTTTAATTGCTGAAATGCGCATTGCGCCACAATATTGGTCATTTTGGGGTTTGTCACTTATATTTCTTGAGTTAAGACATAGCCATTTTTTGATATTTTTACAAAAAGAGAAATAATAAAATATAAAAATATGCAAAAGTGCAGAGCTATTATTTAAAATGCTTGAAATATAGGGGAAAAAAAGCCGCGCTACAAAACTACAGTATATCAATGAAAGTTTAGCCATGTAGGTATGTTTAGATGACTCAAGGATAGTGAGTCTGACTGAGTAATTGTCTTCAGACCTAAGGTTTATATTTTACTTTTCAATACCTATCACTAAATAGTGTTAATAATGTTATAATAAGTAGTTTTGTTTGTTTGATATCCACCAGTCTTATTCTTATTTGTAGTCTTATTATTCTTTGAATTCTTCCAATATACAGAATTATATTTGTTATTTGTATTTCTTTGTAATTTGTATATTTATACACAAATATTTTATTTACCAATCATTAGTCACATTATTAATTTGTTATTACTGTATTGTTGTTATTGTTATGTTTAAGTCCCTACCTGTGCGAACGCCTATTAATTTGAGGACATAGTCCCTACCGGCGCAAACGCCTATGTATTTGCGGACACAGTCCCTACTGGCGCAAACGCCTATTCTGTTGTGGACCCAGTCTCTACCAGCGCGAACGCCTAATCACTTACGGACACATCCCTACCGGGGCAAACTCCTATTCAGTTTTGGACACAGCCACTACCTGCGCGAACACCTATTCATTTGCGGATTGTTTATACTAATTGCATTTGCAGACTGTATTTGGGGCCATTTTTTCCGGGGCCATTTTTACAGGGGCCATTCTTACCGTACACCGTATTTTCCACAAACTGCCCAATGACCACTAACCACAAGGTTGCCCATTTGGTTTATTACCCTGATGAGGGAGAATGCCTCATCACTACCATATTCATACCACCTCAAGTAAATAGCTCATCTCATGTTAAAGGGTTAATAGAGGGTGCATTAATACCCCAATCAAGTTTGTTGGGTAAATCAGGAAGTTTTTCTTAAGTGTGTTTTATTACTGCTGCAAACTCCACTGGAGCAGGACAGTAATCACATCTCTAAAGTTTTATCATTCTGAAAGGGTGTAGTTTTGAGTTTATATTGTTTAGATTTGATAAGTTCATTATATAAAATATGTTTACCATATATTAGTTTATACTTGGTAATATTTATAAGAGGTTTAAGTGAAAGACTTTGCTGACTACTTGGCAGATCAGATTACAAAATTATTTTTTTGTGTATAATGCTGAACTTTATTTAACTGTTTCACAATAAGTTTGTGAATTATTTTCATATTAATTATCAGTTGTTTAACTTTTGAGATGCATGTAGTGTATAATGCACTTTTTATGTAGTTACTGTACAAAGATAATAGGCATGGTTGGTCCACCTACTGTAGGCTGACCATGAAGTAGATGATGACTGTACTAATTACGCGATAGTTATATTTTAACTCATGGTGGCGCTATACTATAAACAAACAAATCAAGATGTTATAGGCCTATATTGATAATAAATTAACTGCATTTTGATAACAATTGAATTGGTTAGACGAGTGAATACAATTGTTTTAATTAATAAAGCTGCTATTACTTATAGTCTTATTGTTCTTGATCAGAGTTAACTAATTAAATTTGTTAAGTGAATCATTGTATGATGTGCCAATACAGAGATTGCATTTTATGATAACTATTAATTATGAATTCATTACATTTAATATTTTACTTAGTGCATTGTTAGCAAATATTTTGTATTGCCATTGCAGTTATTCAGATTGTAATATCATGGAGGTATTATAATACCTCCATGGTAATATCGTACAGTACTATACAGTTCACTGATTGGTCATTGGTTACTTAGTCAGCTTGCCGGGTGTTTGCTAGGGGTGTCGATTAGATAAATTATAATATGGTATAACTGACGATCATTTATTATTTTCATTTAGTGATTGTTATTACTCTTTGTATTGCCTATGTAAGTGTTACCGAATTACTTTAGTATGCTATGATTACTCTTACTGTGTAATAATGTATGCATTATGATAGTAAATGATTTCTTATTAATTTTAATGTTACTTTTATATACTTAGGCCTATTTAGTTTGTTTAATATATCAAGTCTTAATGATTTATGTATTCTTCTGAAATATCTTAATTGATTGATGATGAATAATTTGTTATTCCACATGTGAAGCTACTTGCTCCTGTGTTATTGATAGAAACTGATTTATTCATTGTTTTAGGGTTTGCTTGTTTTGGTTTGGTTTGTTTTGATTTTTGACGGAAATAAAGAAAGTGAAGAATGCTTAGTACTCAGTCGTGAAGTGTGTTCGTTTTATAAGCGTCACAATCATATTGTATTGTAAGCAGGGATGTATACAGGGGAGCCGCGGCTCTCCCCCCCCCCCATTTCTAATTTATGTAAATATGCATCAGCACACGTTATACATATGCCTACTATACTAACACATAGGCCTAATCGTGATTTTAAAAAAATCTTAAATCCACATATACTAACACATAGGCCTAATCGTGATTTTAAAAAAATCTTAAATCCATAAGTCCCAGGCCAGGTCTTTCAAATACAGACATGTGATATTGTATGGTTCAGTTTGGTTTTTATCGTTTTGCATGCTCTCTAATGTTTTGTTTTAATACTACAGTACTACAAGTAGTAATAATGATTATGATGATGACGATGGTGATAATAGATAATAATATAAAAAGTGAAGAAAATTGTGATAAAGGCGAAAAAATGAGTTGTGATTTGTTGATCACAATTATTATAATATAGTTAAAGCTTAGTAAGCTATAGTTAGGCCTAACTATCCTGTCTTGGATATTAATTAGATTCCTGATAAAAGATTGAGAAATTTGTTGGGGCTTCATTTTGACTATATAATGGTGATGTGATCACTTATTTTTATACCTCCTTGATGTGATAATGATGAATTTTACTATATAAAAGTGTCATTTCCGGCCATTTAGAGATACTATTTCCTCAAATTTTCCCACCTTATCCTCAATCATGGTGGAGCTGAGGTGGTTGTGAAATCATGGCTTTGAAGTATATAAAGTACATACTCAAAAATAATCTTTAAAATAAGCTTTATTTTCTGGTACATCACACATATTAATAAGATTTCTATGGTTGCCGAAAATCGCTGGTAAAAGATCATGAGAAATTTGTTGGCGCTTCATTTTGAGTATATATAATCAATGCCGTAGCCAGCTATTGGGACAGTTGGACAGTCCCACACAATTAATTAACACACACATTAATTAATGAATTAAACGATATGAAATTGTTAATGGTGTACTCATTTTTTTGGAAATATTTTATATTTTATTATATTGTATGTCAAGAGTATCCCGATTTTGTGTTGGACCCTCGGTCCATTGTGTCTGTCAAATTTGTAATATAT